AAGTGAATTGATTCCTAATGATAATCATCTAGAGTGGAAATTTTTAAAAACTATGTTTCAAAGTAATCCCAAGGAAGCACAGCTAGAAATACTTGGATATTCAATTAAAAAAGTTAGTGATAAAGTTTGTAGTTATTATTTTATTATTTTTATTTTTAAGGTGAATTAATGATAGTTTAAAATAGGTTTTTGTTTTTTTTCTTTTATTAAGTTTAATTTATATGTTTAGGAAGAAAATGATGGATTTTATTCCAATCTTTCAAACATTCAAGAAGAATACAATATAGTGGCTAAGTTTGAAGATTTCAATTTAAAATCTTCCAACCCTAATGGTACAGTACAAATTTTATTTTTATTTATTACATTTTGAGCAGAGTAATGGATGTATTGGACTTTACAGAGATATGTATTTTTAATTTGTGTCTATATTTTTTTAGTGGATATTTATTGTAGAAAAAATGGTTTGTTCTTCACTTTGATGATGGTTTCTCTAAGCAAATTGAATCCTAGTTGATATTTGGGTTGGGGAAAGTAGTTTAATCAAAAATATTTTCACATACACATTTTATGAATGATTTAAGTTAAAATGTCAATGGCATTAGGAAACCACGGTTTCCTTAAACATGTGTTTCAATTGTAGCCTAGTTCTGTTCTCTCATCTCCCACAGTATATTTAATATATTATGTAATAAGCCGTGGCAAGAAAAAAAATATGATTAATCACAATATAAGTATCATTAGATATTTAAGTTTGTCTGTGCTCAGAATTTTTTTTTAGATTTTCATTACAGTGATCAATGTACACTAAATACTTACTTTACATTATAGCAAAACACTTTCCATGTTCTTAAATATTTATTTTCCTATTCACTAATGACTAATTTATATAATAAATATAGATATTCAAGACTTAATATATCAGTCACTTCTCGTTGGAAATTTGTCAACGGCTGCAGATTTGTTTTTAGATAATGGAAAACCAGTTGAAGCTTTATTACTTGGAATAATTGCTGGTCCTAAGATATTGTCTAGAATACAAAATAAGTACCTTGAGGTAAACCAATACTATTATTAATCTACATCACATAATTACTAATTWAACACATGTTATAGAATTCAAAAGAACCAACTGCTGCTTTACTGCATGCAATTGTGACAAAAGATTGGAGTAATCTGATTGAAAATTGTGATTTAAAATGTTGGAAAGAAATAATGACTGCCATTCTAACCTACACAAATGGGCCAACTTTTGTTTCTTCTTTTGAAAAACTTGGCAATCGTCTTGCAGCTTGTGATGATCTGAGTTTGTCAAAATATGCTCAGCTTTGTTACATCTGTTCTGGTAATGTTGAAGC